AGCTGCCTACCAAGGTGGTCTACTCAGCCTTAATAGAATACCCATGGCTCATATTCATTGTACTCTGTGGCTAGAAAGAAGAAATCTAATTCCTCCTCCCATAATACCTTTTCAGATAGTTGAAGATGAAAATCACATTCATCCTTACTCTTATTGCTAAGCCTTCTCTTTTTTGAACCAAACAACCTGTGTTCCTTTTTCTGTGCTGTCTATGGTATATTCTCCAGTCTTCTCACCATCCTGGTTACTCGCATCTGGATGAACTCCAGCTTGTTTCTGTCTTTCCTATAATGTGATACTTAGATGGAAACACAGTTCTCCAGATGTGGCCTAACCAAGGCAGGGTATCATGGAAAAGCACCTCTCTTTCTCTAGGTAATAAGAGCTTTTAATACAGCCTAGTGTAGACTTAGCTTGTTTGGGCCACCATGTTACTTTGTTGATGCTAATTAAGCTTGCAGACTATTAAAACACCTCGTATCTTTTTTCTTTCATAATTTTATTTTTTTTAATTCTGAAGTTAGGCACCAAAAAAAAAGTACTTCTGTATACACAGTAAAATGTATAAAGAGAATTATATAGGAAACTACAAATCTTCATTTCTTATCACTTACTTCTTTAAAAAGTATACATTAATTCTTCAGGTTACTTTAAAAATTGTACTGCTGTCTGTGCTTCTTCCTGTCCCTTTGTGTGTATTTTTTAAAATGTTTCAATTGCCTTCTTTTCATCACTATTACTAAGGGAAGAGGGGAGATAATAAGCATTAATTATCTGCTAGTGACAGGCACTGTGCTATTATAATCTCATTTGATTCTTGTAACAACCCCAGGAGATAGGTGTTATGATCCCTATTCTACAGCAGAGGAAACTGAGGCAGACAGGGGCTGAATGACTTTCACAGAGTCACATGGTTACCCCCCTCTACTTCCCTCAATTTAAAAACCAAGAGGAAAAAAACCCCATAAGTGTGATCAAACAAAACAAATCCACACAGTAACTATGTCCGCAAATGTCTATCTTTTTCTGTAACCTTAAAGCTATCATCTTTTTCAAGAGATGAGTATCATGCTTCATTGTAGACTTGCTGTAGATATGGTTGGTCATGGCATTGATCAGAATTCTTAAGTCTTTCAAAATTCTTTTTCTTTACAATGTGTTCTTTTATATGTTGTTCTGGTTCCTTGACTCTGCATCAGTTTTATAATTCCTAGGCTTCTCTAAGATTATCTCTTTCATAATTTCTTATGGTCTATTAATACTCCATTATATCAATATAACACAATTTGTGTAGCCATTCTTCAACTGATGGGCACCCTCCCTTAGATTGGTATTCTTTTGACCCTTACTTCCTTTTGCCCTCTTCAAATGCTCAGAACAGAGCCAATCAACCCCCCGATCCTGTTTTTCTTATTTAACTTCAGTACCCTTTTGTAGACATTCAGATTCTTCTGAAGGGACACTTATTTTTTCTTCAACTTGTAGAATGTTAGCTCTACATCATCACATAGGCCCTTGCCATTGTTCCAATAAATTTACCTTTCTAGTTTTCTCTTAATTCTTGTGTTTACATTTCAAAGTTCCTACTGACCTCTGGTCTTTTAATCAGAAAAACTTAAAATTCCTCTATTCCTCTAAAGATCCATTTGCCCCCTGTAGGATTACACGGTGATGCTAGCTTTGTGACTCTTAATTTTTAAGGCAACGCACTTTGTCTTCTGGAATGTTGTATTTCAATATTTCCCTTTGTTTATGATAGAAGCTTCCAACTTTGAGGTGATCTTGACTGAGCTGCTTTTTTCTGGATGTTTGCAATATTTGGTCTTTGCTATAGTTCTGGATTTTGGTTATGACATTCCTGGGACTTTTCCTTTTGGAGTTTCTTTCAGGAGATGGCAAGTGGATTCTTTCTAGCTTTACTTTGCCGTTTGTTTCTAATAGATCTGGGCAGTGTTCATTTATATTTTCCTCAAATGAGAGGAATTAGAAAAGGGATTCGAAAAGCTTCCTCTTGGCTCCAAACTTTATAATCCTTTAAGTCTTGACTCTTTTCCCAGATTCTTTCATTTCTATTGACTCCTCACCTATTTCGGGCATATCTCCTGAGGGGAAAAAAAATACACATCTGATTTTGATCTTATGTAAGCATTGTTAATTTGCTTTTTCAGACTTCTAAATTTGTCTGTTTGCTAGTGATTCCTGTTTATAATCCTCTATGTTGTTTAAAACTTGATCAATACTCTCTGTCAGGGAGTCCCAGAATCCTGAATCATCTAATTGTCCTTTTCCTTTATTGGAATTTACAGATCAGGCTCAGGAATGCAGGGAGGGTCTTACTTCAGTGATTTCCTAAGGTCACTGGAATTCAGAGTAATTTCCCTATCAGGATTCAGGTTGCATAGTGTGGAGGGGTTGTTGCATAACCATCTTCCCTTAAATGGAGCAAGCTGAGCTCTGAGTGGCTTGGCTGGTCAGAGTCCATTGGCAGAACGTTCCTAGCCCACAAGTGGTTCCTGTTTCATCTTTTCTTTTTCAATGGAAATCAGGGCTATTGCTTTTGAACTAGCCATCTAATTCTTCTCATTGGCACTCTCAGTTCAGGCTGTTGTAATAATTGCATTGTCTTTTAATTACAGTAATTACAGCAGAGCTTTTGCTCAAAGTTGCTTTCCCACAAACACTGATAGATTTAATTATTTAAACATTTATTAAGTACCTGGTACCTTTCTAGCCTTATTAATTAGTCTACAAATATTTATTAAGTGCTTACTATGTGATAGGTACCATGTTAAGTTTGGAGTGCAAACCAAGGCAAAAAATATAGTGTCTGCCCTCAAAGAGCTCATATTCTAGTAAAAGATACAATATGTAAAAAATTGGGCACAGACAAGATAGAAGATAATCTTAGAGGAAAGGTATAACAGTGATGGGGGGTGGATTGGGAGTGAGGGGTACCTGGAGAGACCTGGACAATAAGTTTGGAAGTGGGGAGAGGTGAAGAGGGGGAGTTGTTATGCATCAATCTCCTTCATTCAATCTACGGTTCACCCAAACTAGGCTTTTTGCTGCCTATCTCCTTACCTTAGCACAGGCCGCTTCCAATGCCTGGGATGTTCTCCTTCCTTACCTCTATCTCTTAGAAATGTTGGTTTTCTTCAAAACTTGGTTCACATGGCCCTTCCCCATCCCCCCAGTTGCTAGTGCCTCTATCCTAAATTACTTTATTTTTATTTTGTATCTATTTATTTTTATTTATGGGATCATAAATTTAGAGGAAGAAGGACCTTAGAGGTTGTTGAGGTCAACCTTCACATTTTACAGAAGAAGAAACCATTTTCTTTTTTTTTTCAACATTCATTTCCATAAGATTTTGAGTTTTAAATTTTCTCCCCCCTGCCTTTCCTGCCCCCTCCCCAAGATAGTGTGTAATCTGATATAGGCTCTACTTATGCACACATATTAAACATATTTTCACATTAGTCATGATATAAAGAAGGATTAGAACTAATGGGAGGAACCATGAGAAAGAAGAGACAAAACAAAGCAACAAAAGAAAAGGAGAGCAAATAGTGTGCTTCCATCTGCATTCAGACCCCAAAGTTCTTTCTCTGGATATGGATAGCATTTTCCATCATGAGTCTTTTGGAGTTGTCTTAGATCCTTGCATTGCTGAGAAGAGCTAAGTCTATCAAAATTAGTCATTGCACAATGTTGCTGTTACTATGTATAATGTTCTCCTGGTTCTGCTCACTTCACTCAGCATCAGTTCATATAAGTCTTTCCAGGTTTTTCTGAAGTGTGCTTACTCATCATTTCTTATAGCACAATAGTATTCCATTATATTCATATACCACAACTTATTCAGCCAATCCCTAATACATGAGTATTCCCTCAATTTCCAATTCTTGGACACCACAAAAAGAGCTACTATACATATTTTTTGTGCATGTGGGTCCTTTTCCCATTTTTATGATTTCTTTGGGATATAGCTCTAGAAGTGGTACTGCTGGGTCAAAGGATATGCACATTTTTTATATGCACATTTTTTATAGCCCTTTGGGCATAGTTCCAAACTGCTCTCCAGAATGGTTGGATCAATTCCCAACTCCACCAACAATGCATTAGTGTACCAATTTTCCCACATCTCCAGCATTTATAATTTTCCCATTTTGTCATATTAGATAATCTGATAGGTGTGATGTGGTACTTTATGGTTATTTTGATTTGCATTTCTCTCATCAATAGTGATTTAGAGCATTTTTTCATATGACTGTAGGTAGCTTTAATTTCTTCCTCTGAAAACTGCCTCTTCATATCCTTTGAACATTTATCAGTTGGAGAATGAACTTGTATTCTTATAAATTTGACTCAGTTCTCTATGCATTTTAGAAATAGGGCCTTTATCAGAGACACTGACTGTAAAAATTGTTTCACAGCTTTCTGCTTCCCTCCTAATCTTGGTTGCATTGGCTTTGTTTGTGCAAAAACTTTTCAACGTAACATAATCAAAACCCTCCATTTTGCATTTCATAATGTTTTCTATCTCTAGTTTGGTCATAAATGGAGGAAACTATTTTTGAAGAGGGGTTAAATGATTTGATTTAGAGGCAGTTAAGTGGCTGGAGTGTTGGATTTGGAGTCAGAAAGACTTGAGTTCAAATCCAGCCTCAGACACTTACTAGCTATGTGACCCTGGGCAACTCACTTAACTGTCTGTTTGTTTCAGTTTCCTCAAATATAAAACTGGGACGATAATGGTACCTGTCTTGTCTGGTTGCTTTGAGTCTTCTGACTTCCAGTGCTCTATCCATTTCCAACACTCTATCCTAAAACAAACTTGACAAGTGGTTGTTCTTGTTTGTCTTCCGTTTTGGAAGAGAATCAATGACATCATGATGTTGGGGTAAAATAGTGGATGATGGGTGATGTCCTGACTTGTGAATGAAGTGGATTTGTGAGGCAGAGCTGCACAAAGTCATCAGCCTCCCTCTTTCTTCCAGAGTCATCAAAGCCCAGTGGAAAGACCAAAGTGAAGATGATTGGTGATGGCCTGGGATGCAGTGGATGACCTTGGCATCTTCCAAACTCCAAACGTTCTGCAGTTCCTACTTCAGCCACTTGCATGGCCATAGGAACAAATTGTTCTTCTCTTCCCATTCCACTAGGGGGAAATTCTTAACATGCTTGAGGTAGACATCCCCTCAAATCATTGACAGGCTTGAGGCCTGTCGGTTACCTTCAACCTGGTTTATCCCGTCTGCCAAGATGGTTTTACCAGGGTGTGGCCCTGTGCATGCTACAACTTCTTAGAGCCATGGGTGAGAGTTGGGTGAAGGTGGACACCAAAGGTGGATGAGCAGCCCTGGAAAGGGCTCAGCAAGCCCTCACACCAGAGGTGCTAGTCTTCCCTGATCACCCCTCACACTCCCAATACATGGTAGGATCTCTAAAAATACTTGTTGATTGATGGATTGATGCTATATATAATATCCTCCACTGAAGTCATATGTATTGCTTAAAACTGGATCAATTTCCACCCTGAGTCCTAAACCATTGAATTATCCTTTTCCTTCATAGCAAGGGTTCCTAATGTGGGGTTCGTTAACTTTTAAAAAATTGATAACTGTATTTCAGTGTAACTGGTTTCCTATGTAATCTAGGTATTTTATTTTATGCATTAAAAATAATTATTCTGAGGAGACCATAGGCTTCACCAGACTATTTACATATAAATCGTCATAAATGCCTCTTTATGGGGTGACGGTGACTTTTTATTATTGAAGGCTTTGCCAGTAGAGCTCAGATTCTACCAAACTGGAGGGGACTGTAGGACTGACCAGGCATAGTGACTTCCTACAGTGGAGGTCTGACAACAACATCCCTTTACTCAATAAACTCCAGAGGATCATCATATCACTCCCAAGATCAAAAACAAAATCCTCTGTTTGCCTTTCAAAGCCCTTTGTAAAGTGCCCCCCTCATCTTTCCAGTCTTCTTACGTGTTACACCCTCCATATACTCCTCTCTGGTTGTCCTCCAGGCCTGAAAAGCTCTCCCTCCTCATTGCCTTCTGGAATCCCTGGCTTCCTTCAAGTTCCAGCTAAAATCCCACCTTCTACAGAGCCATTTCCCAATTGCCCTTAATTCTAGCATCTTTTTTCTGCTGTACCTAGTTGTTTGCATGGTGACCACCCATTAGACCATGAGTTCTTTGATAGCAGGGACTGCCTTTTGTCTTTCTTTGTATCTTCAGAGCTTTGCATAGTGCCTAGCACATTTGAATATAAGCACACAAAAGCGTGAACCAGTTGCAACACATTACAAACGAGGAATTAAGCAGAAGTGGTGTGATGGATGTCATTAGACAAACAATTGACCAAGAAAAAAAGAAGATAAATCAGTCACTTTGAGAGAGTGAAGAACAACCAACTGTTAACTTAAACCATTGATATTTAGGAAATTATAGAATTAGAGAAAAGCTGCCGGCAAACTGGGTGGACTCTGTGGCAAATCGTGTGGGAAGACTTGGACAAAGAATCACATAGGACGGGCAGAAATGGATGGGTTTCAATCAGAATCATTGGAGGGAAGGTCCACATCAATGAGATCACAGATCTATTGGAGTGCTAGTAGGCATACAAAGACTATACAGAGTACTGTAACAGCAGAAAATCAATCAGTCTGTATTTTTGAAGCACCTACTAGGTGCCAGGCACTGTGTTTGACTCACGTTTATTAAATATGATAAATGAGACAATCTCTGCTCATAAGGAGTTTAGATTGTAATTTAACTACTTTGTATTTATTCACTTTATTTGTATTCTGCACACATATATGTGTGTATATATATGTGTGTGTATATATATATATACATATATATATATACTTATACATATGAACACATATACATATATATATATATATATATATATATATATATATATATATATATACTTATACATATGAACACATATACTTATCTATAAGTATATGTATAAGTAAAAAGGGCAGCTAGGTGGTGCAGTAGATAAGAGTTCCTGCCTTAGAGTCAAGAGGATCTGAGTTCAAATCTAGCCTCACACTTACTAGTTGTGTGACCTTGGGCAAGTTACTTAAAACCCCATTTCCTTCAATTTCCTCATCTGTAAAATGAGCTGGAGAAGGAAATGGCAAACCACTCGAGTATCTTTGCCAAGAAAACCTCAAGTGGGGTCATGAACAGTGGGACATGACTGAAATGACTGAATAACAACATAAGTACATACATAAATAACATATATATATATGCATATGCACATACACACACAGAGAATACATATAAAGTGTATCAATACAAAGTAGTTAAATTCCAGGGATTTGCAGAGGGAGGGTACTAGCAATTGGAAGAGGATAAAGGGTAGTTTCATGCAGGTGAGGGCATTGGGGCTGGATTTTGAAGAGTAAGACATCAAATAAGCAGAAAAAGTAAAGGAGGAATTTTAGGTGGGAGGAAAAGCATGAGTAAGGGATGGAGAGAAGGAATTAAAAGGTTTGTCTGAAGATAGCAATAGCTAGGGGCAGCTAGGTGGCACAGTGGATAGAGCACTGACCCTGGATTCAGGAGGACCTGAGTTCAAATGTGGCCTCAGACACATAACACTTACTAGCTGTGTGACCCTGGGCAAGTCACTTAACCCCATTGCCTAGCCCTCCCCCCCCAAAAAAAGAAGAAGATAGCACTTATACAGCACCTACTATGTGCCAGGCACTGCGCTAAGTGCTTTACAAATATTATCTCATTTGATCCTTAAAACCACCCTGGAAGATAGGAGCAATTCTTACAGAATACATTCTTATGGAAAAAAACTAGGGTAGATAGAATTTTAATGACTTGTGCAGGATCTGAGTGTGGATTTGAACTCAGCCCTGACTCCAGGCCCACCCTATTGACTGTGTCACCAAGTTGCCTCTAGTGTAGTTCCTTAGCTATAACACAGAGCCCATGAGGGCAGCATTTAAGAGCCCATGAGAGCTAAGATTTAAAAGGTACTTTGAAGCCTGAATATGTAAAATCATGAATGCTAGGCTAAGAAGTTTGGAACATTGAGGAACTATTGAAGAATTTTGTTTAGAAGGATGAAAAGATCATCCCTATAGCCTCCAGTAACAGTAGCAGGGGCTCATTGAATGGAATGGGGAGCTGGGACTAGTCTGAAGTCTTTGTGGTCAGAAGAGATTTTCATTTATTAAAACTATCTTTTCCTCACTGTGTATAAATTGGTGTGGTTTTGCTATGGCATATATTTCTTGTGAATTTGTTTTAATTTCTATATTCAGAGGTAATAGATATTTCCCAAACATTGATGACCTAAAGCCAAATAGTTTTGTTTTACTCAGTGTCTGGATATCCAGTTTATAGGCTCTAAATGAGTCTTCCCCAGAAGAATGTTTGTTCCCAGCAGGCTGCCAAGTCAGTGAAGGCTCCAGTGTTTTCACACAGGTAAACAAATTATAATTTCCTTCCAACTCTAAATCCTATGGTTCTATGGATGGAATCCCTTTCCCCCCATGTTAGTCAGTATTATTTGGGACTTTCGTACTTGTGTAAACTGGTATGTCTGTGATTCCCAGTTAAAATAGGGTTGCTCAGAGGAAATGTGTCTGTTTCCTATTTTGATAGATCTGGGAGTTCAGGGTGAGGACGTGCCCATCAACAGAAAGTACAGACTAGTGAAACAGACTTAAATTCCTTAAAATCTAGAATAGAGCATTACTGGGATGGTGTGCACCTAGGAAAAGAGACAGCAAGACCCCAAAGTGCTGGCATGGCTTTATAAAGAAAGAACATGTCATGGATGCAATGATCATCTCTATGCAGATTTCCAGTCTTGCATTTCTAACAACTTATTGGATGTCTTGAACTGGATGACCCATAGACATATCCAGAGTAGAACGCCCTTTTCTGAACTTTTTTTATTACTCTTTGAAAGACAGTGCACCATAATTCTCCTAAGCGCCCACGCTTGTGACCTTGCTGTCCATCTCACTCTTCACTTAGATTCTCCCCATAAATCTAATCTGTTGATAAGTCTTCTTGTTCCTACTATCACAGGGTCTCTCCTAATTCCCACAGTCACAGTCCTAGTGAAGGCCCTTATCAGCTCATCCCAGGACTATTGCAATAGCCTTCTGGTGGGTCCCCCTGCCTCGTTTACCTACCCAGTGACCAATATGATCTTCCTAAAGCATAGGTTGGACCAAGTCACCTCCTTACTCAATAACTCCAGTAGTTCCATATTACCTGGAAGATCAAATATAAAATTCTCTGTTTGTCTTTTAAAGCCAAATTATATAACATTGTTCCTACCTACAAAAACTCTCACCCTTCCCTCATTTATTCGTTCATACATTTAACAAGTGTTCGGTAGGTGCCCCGTACATTCCCATTACTGTACTAGGCACTGTAAGGGATACAAATGACATAGAAGACATGATGCTACCTTCTAGTAGCTTTCAATAGAAACAATTAGAAGGCAACCTTCAAACAAGGGCCAGATGGCATCTTACAGTGTCTGGAATGCTTTGGGGACAGAACCAAAGATTGTGGGGGTAGAGTTTGTGAATCCTCAGACGCTTCCTATCATATCAATAGGGTTTCATCATTGTGACTGGGCAAGTCACTTTTCTCCTCTGGGACCCTCAGTCTCCTCATCTATAAAATAAAGGGGCTGGGCTTAATAACCTCTAAGCCTCCTTGCAGCCCTAAATCTATGATTCTGTGTTATATTTCTTTTCTCTCTCATCAAGAGATGAGAACCTTGAACTTCCTGGCCATGAAGTTCCTCTTATTTTTTTTAGGGGGTAATATATCGAGCCTGAGAGACCTAAATGAACTGAGTCTGGCAACCAGAGAGCTAAGAAAATTTTTCTCTTAACTAGCCCACGAGGCAGGCAAAGTTGAGACTCACACAGTTGAAGTGAGTTGCCTATGGATACACAAATAAGTGTCAGAGGCAAGATGTAATCTCAGCTCAGATCTTCCAGACTCTTGCTCCAACATAACTGGTCACTCTGTAAAACTCCCCAAGCAAATTTGAACTGCAGTTAGTCATTTAATTAGTCAATAAACACTTATTAAGAACCTAGTATGTGCCAGGCACTACGTTAAGTACCAGGTCCACAAAAAAAGACAAAAGGCAGTCCCTGCCCTCAAGGAGCTCATGTTCTAGCAGGGCAGACAGCATGCAAACAACCATATATAGTGTGAATTGGAGATAATAAACAGAAGGAAGACATTAACAATAAAGGGCAATCACCTCCTCTAG